AATATCCTCATGCAAATTAGTACTTCCAGATCCATTTCTGCACATCAATAAATAAATAATATATGTAAGTTAATTGTACAACTTTACAAAGCTATATTTTATATGTTCAAACTAATAAACAATTTAATTATACAATATATTTTGACTTCGTATGAAAAATGTGTTAATTCATACCTCACAGCATTCATTCTGTTAGAAATTTCATTCTCTGTATCATATATATACAATTGTGCAAACTTTGGAGAAGCACCTTCAGAAGGAAGCAAACTACCGATTAGATGGTAATTCTGCCCATGTAAAGAAAACACCGGTGGCCCAGTCCCCATATTGATATCTGAATCTATCTTTTCTCCCAAAGAAGTAAAGCCAAACATGCTATTGTATGATCTTATGTTATCTTGAAAATGTTTGCTTAATTGGCCATCTCCATGAAGCAAATCTTTCAAAAATTGGGGAGGATTCTTCAAAAGAGGGAGCTGAATTTTTCCGTTCGTGCAACAACTGGTGTACTCAGGCACAACTGCATTTTGATTGTAAGCCTTTCTCTCCTCGTACCAAATAATGGCACCACAGTACATACAACGAAAGCTTGCATCTCCCATGTCCCAAAATTCTGTAAATGTTTATACATATAAGAATGTTATAAAACCATTTTTGTTATGAATAAATTATGTTGTCTATTAAAAAGACATAAGTAAAATTACCAGATACTACTGAAGATTGTCTAGTTGTTTTCCTAGGACGACCACTTTTTCGTTTTTCTGTGCTTGGTTGAATTGTACTATCAAGCGTGAGATCAATAACAGAACTTGCTGGCATAGTTCCATCAGTTCTCTCATTATCAATATCCTCATCATCATGCGTGAGATCGATAAAGATGCTATTACTCGCTTTTTGAGTCGGCTTATAAGAAGGTACTAAACGACGCTTACGTTGGCCTGTTGCAATAAATAAAGAGAGTAATATATATAAAAAAATTGTTTTTATACACATTTTTTATTGTCTAACAATAACAATATATATAATAAATAAAAAAATGACGTTCAAGAATGTACCAACTGACGCATCTGACGTACTCACCCCAATTTGGTCCTGAAACACTGTTTAAAAGGATCCATTTAACTTGTATTTTCTGAAACTCTATATAGTTCTGATTTATAATAAATAATACAAAACATACATATATTTTGTATAAAAGTCGTAAATTATTTTTTTTTAAAAAAAAAAACAAAACAACAAACTTACTATTTGTAATGTCAGAAAGCGGT